TACATAAGTGCTTTTACGTTTACGTTTCGTGCGAGGTACGGTATGAAACTCCGCCATCTTCCTGGGTTGCTACTAAAAATTTCTTGACAGCAGAATTTTGTAACTGATTTTGGACCCACGCGGGATTCGAACCCGACCTCATAATCAGTAGTCCTTTCGTCCTCTAGACTATTAATGCTTCATGCATTAGCAAAAATAACAAGGTTAAAATAATAAATACTAGAGAATTACTTTTCGCATGCAAATGTTAATATCGACATAAAATAAACTACAGCAGTACTAACAGTTTAATACAAAAGCAGTGGTTTGTAAAAAGTTGTATTTTCATGTTATTATGGTTAAGGAGAATGCTCGAAATTCATCATTATAAAAACCTCGTTAGTGGCGTCCGCAATACACACTCGGTTCAGCGATTTTATTCGTTCGGGAGAAATATAACTAATTTGCACGAGAGCACTGACCAACTTGATAGTTCTTGATCAAGAAACCCATAAAGCAAATATTGGAATGTTATATAAATATATAGTGTATAGTATTACACTTTTAGTGATACAATAACTGGCAAAAACAAGCTAGCATAAAACAATTTAAAATTAATAATCCCTGACTATAGATAGTCCCTACCTCCTTTTGTACCTTACTCAATAAATTACACATTTTACGATTGTTTAAAGTCTTGCCTTAGCTTATATATCGTATCATTGCATAACATCGAATGCAATCACACACTTACCTTTTACCCAATAACAAAAGTAGATACATGCACTTGCTAAATCCTCAGAAAAAATTTAAAAGCATGTGTAAGCAGCAGAGGTATTATTAAAATACCTCCCTACCAAGGCAGCAATATTTCAATTACGCGTTGTGACATTTAAAATAAAAGTTATTCAAAGTATGCCAACACAAAAAAACCGGACAAGTGCGAGTCGAACTCGCGCGCCGTGGGTTCCATACATACTCGTATGTAAACAGTTCGTCCATTACGGGAATAGAGTTATGATTTTTGCAGAGTATGTTTTAAGTTTCTCCCTGAATACTACAACAGGTTTATTTTTCAGAGAGTAGCCAAATTTTAAACTTAATTTCAAATATATAAATAATGATATACCGTCATTGCAGTCTCTGAAAATACGAGTAAATATTGCTTTTACTTTTATTTGAAATTATCCTAAATTGAATGTGGCAACAAAGTTTTGCCTACCAATCGACCCTTACAAATGTGTGCGTACGTAGTAAAATCAGTTTAATAATACATTACCATGCATTTTGAATTTAAAAGATAAAAAAGAATGTTTGAGATTTTTCTAATTAATTTTTCTTCAACATTTGCCTATATTACTTATTCTGAACCTTCTCTGCAAATGTGGCCGGTTATTACAAAATAACCCTGTATAATATTCAACATAATTATCTTTGAGACGAGAGTGAATTGGCATTTAAAAGATCGGTATGCTCCGTTTCGGCGTTATTGTACAGTTCCTTACACCAAAATAATTAACATTAGTTACGTAGTTCATAAACTATGAAAGCACCGAACATTAATCTGCCGAAAAGTAGGATTGAAGGACAAACTAACTTTTTAATTGATAAAAAAAAATCTCGATATATATCACGGTCAATTCTCCAACTGCAGATGTAAGTTTGCTATCGCGAAAAATATTTTTATGTGATAAAACTACAAATTAACTATTTTGTTTACTTGTCCTGTGAGAATTTAATTCTTGCCAAATTTCACGATTACTTACAAAATATGTCGCATAAATGGCTGTATTTTTCATTGTGTTACTTAAGAAGCTTAATTTTTTTAAAGCTACAAGGGACCGCAGACCAGCTTATTTAATAATAATTTCAACTTGATACTTCCACGCATTCCTGAGAAAAAGGAACTAAACAGATGACGGACAACGAAATGATCCTTCGAAGAATTCCATTTTTTTCTGTTGAGGTATGGAGTCCTAAAAATTAAAAGTGTTATAAAAAGGGATTTCCCCATTAGTATTCTAACAATTATTAAAAAAAAAACTTAGACTTACTCTCCGAAATGTATCCTGTAGAAAAGCGAAAAGCTGGATACTTTACGCTATGTTCGGGACTGGCAAGATCGTTTTTAACCAGATTAGGGTCACTAATTAACCTCTTAACACACCTTTCCGTTGAATCCAAAGCTATCAGATATAATTTTGCAACACCAGTCCATATATGGCAGCTATAGTCAATAAACGATCGGACTTGCGCTTTATATAAAGTAAGAAGCTATTCCGGCGTGAAGCACCGCCACACATTTGCCAGGGTACCTAACTTCCTTGCAGCTGATTTGAGCCTTGGACTCAATGAGTCATCCAAAGTTCAGATTCGAGGAAATCTTAACCGCCAATAACTGAAGGCGATAGGTGTATTCCAATCACACATCTCTGAAAGAATGAGTCAAGGTGAGCTGGCTGCTTATTGCAGTAAATAGCCACAAGCGACACTCTTGTCTATTTCAGGCGTTTAATTTCATAAGATTGGCATCGCCCCGTTCGGAGACTGCCTGAAGTTAGAGATACACACGCTCAACCATAGCTTCTCTTTCAGGCTGTATTTGATCCCGACTCACCCGACCCGACCCGACTTACCTGGTATATACGCAGAGGATCATCGATGTGATCCTCTGCGTATATACCAGGCATAAGCCTTATATGCCTTTCTAATCTTCCATTAAAAAGGCCTTAATATGACCTTTCAAATACAACGGTAGTTGAATAAAAGATAATTTCAAAGACACTAGACAATTTTATCTATACAGGAAATGTCCTAGTATACATACATGACGTCCTTTTGTGATGCAATTCGATACCCGAAGTATTAATTTTGCTACAACAAGTACTTTAAACTTAACCATGTAGTGGTATTGTAAGAACATTCACCAACCCATATCGTCCAGGTGATTGGCAGCAGCATATTCCTAATTACAGCTCAAAATTATAAAATAAACTGAGGTGCCAACTAGCGTGACAAATATGAGGCAATCTATGAGGGAGGCTTATGTTCAGAAATGAACTGTTATTACTGTTGTAAATTTTGCGAGGCGCCGCTCTCCCTCATTCCGCCGCCGAAACTTGGATCAGGAAGGCTGGTGCTTTCAAATGTTTGAAGTTTCTGGTCAAACGGCATCCACGTACAGGGCTCGGGGTAGCCTGCTGCGTAGGTGGAGTTAGAGACCGCGGACATGGCGAAACAATTTTTGATGGAATTATTAAGCGTCTACATATTACCGTTACAGATATCAATAAAATATAATTTTTAATGAAGCTTATGGCCTATCGAAGTCTGGAAAAAAATCATCACACATAATTTCGTAGAGTACTTTTGATTTCATAATTGAAAACTAATTTGACAAGTTTTTGTGTTTGTTACGATTCACCAATTAAGGCAGGCAAAGGTCTTAGTCTTATAATATACAGCCTAGACTGATGTGTAGATATTTTATTTACAAAACTCTTCTCAATAGGTATAATAATGCATTAATTTAGGATTCCATCTATGCAAGTAATTACTCTATATAAGCATAATTGAAAATTATATTGACTAGTTGTTGTTGTTGTTGTAACAATTTGCCAAATAAGGCAGGCAAAGTTCTTACACCATACAGCCTAGTCTGATGTGAAATTTGTTCAAACTGTCATGTCTTTAACATCCTGCAGTAGTATGACTGAAGAAAACATTGTTCAGCATTTCTTCAAACTCTATATTTTTTTACATTTGTAGACGCAAGAAAAAAATGTTAATAAAAATTTGTTTTAGAGTTTGCCATTGTCCTTTTGATAGTAGGACACTTATTGATAAGAGATAAGTTTTCATCATTATTACTGCTCCACTGCTGAACATAGGTCTCCCACAAGGAATATCACAAAGCACGGTCCTGAGCCACCTGCCTACCTATATATATATTTCACTTTCTAGTACGAGATTGCTAGACGAGAACTTTTCTTCTCCATCGTTTGTCGGTTACTTGAGCTATATAGTGGCAGTCACTTCAGCTTCCTGATTCGTTGGGCAATATCGTTTACTTACGCGTATGTATGTATATAGAAATAACTACCTGTGATAAACCACACTCGATACCCAAAATAATGGTGCTGTGGCAGAACGTCAAATATTGGGAGAGACTTAATTACTATAATAGCCTAAACGTTTTATTTCCTAAACATAAAACTATCTTATATGGATGTGTGACAATGCACGTGGTTTAACACTTCGAATTGCAAGTAACAATATTATGGGTGCTGACGAGAACCGAACTCAGCTTGTCTGCTTATTATGCACGTGTCCGTTATTAATTGAGATAATATTATTACAATATTACTGTATTAAAATAAATTTTAATGAATCTGAATGGAAATTGCATCAGGAACAGTTTATGGATTAATAAATTCTTATAAAGATTTTTCATTTGCACAACAGAATCTGTAAAAACGTCACAACAGAATCTGTAGAAACGTCAATTCGGTCTGGAGAACACCTGCTCAACGTTGTTCTTAGTACGGAAACCGCGTTCGGTACAGTACAACACTCACACTAACTTGAGCAACGCTTCAAGAGCGAGAACGTGTATACCTATAACACAAAATAACTCCTTATATAGTACTCCTTATATTGTTGTATATGCGTACAAAGCAACATAGTCAATCGCTCTTACTGATCCGATTCAAAATCACATATTGTAATCACATAGAATTAGGTACACTAGAATTGCTTTTTTGTAGTAATACGTTACAAAACGTTTTACAAAATAAACAGAAAAAAATTATTTCTCATACTATATTTGCTTTAATAAAACAAAATACAAAATAAATGCAGTCATCCTATTATTTTTTCGCAGAGTTTATCTACATTTTAACTTTAATCCAACAATAAAAGCTCATTTTAAAATTTACTTTAACAACTTAATCCATTTTTTTTGTCTTCTTCTGATTTTTCCTTTTCGAGTTTCTTGGTGATGTAAGTATTTTGCTTTTAGTTTAATGTTTATCATACTTTTTACCCTTGAAGTTTTTTCCTTTCTTGTGCTGAAAAAAATAAAATGAAACAAATATTAAATCATACTGAAGTTACTAAATTATTATTTCTACTATTGTAGATAAATGGCCAGTAAAACCGTAAGGGTTTGTTTATAAAGCAAAATAACAAACTATCCTTGGCCCAGGTTTGATGTTTAATCACGACTATCAATCTAAGGTTAATTCACACATTTAAAGTCGACATAGAAAAAGTAGTTCATGACTAATTTAACGCTTCAAGGCCTAATACTAGCTGGCCATTAAGTAGCTTGAAAGTCGACAGTGGCACTCTACAGTCGTAATAAGATCGTTTCTTCTATGACTGTGCCAGGGTTGGAGTGACTAATTACAACAATATATGGCTAAAAATGTTTTACGAAAATATGTAAGCTAAAGCAGCTTCAAATGTATTGCTCCTCTTATCTTTACTTTTTCATTTTATTTACTTGCCCATAACAGTCCACTGCTGTACTAGTATCGCATTATTAGACAACACCCATCGTTGAGAGCAAAGTATTTTTAAAAAACGTTTAAAAAGTTACAGCCTATATACGTCCCACTGCTGGGCACAGGCCTCCTCTCATTTCTGGGAGGGTTTAGGGCTAGGAAATGTCCACCACGCTAGCCCAATGCATGTTGGCGTATTTCTTTATTTCTTAGACATGCAGGTTTCCTCAAGATGTTTTCCTTCACCGCCCAGCACGTGGTGAACCAGCACTTAACAATTTCTATGGTGCCGTCGGGGCTTGAACCCGGGTTGCTTGCGTACTGTGAAATGTACAGCGAGCGTTTAGCCCCTGAGCTACCACGGCTAAACGTTTTAAAAGTTAAGCTTAATTACTAAAAGTGAGTTATATAACTTTTTAATTACTTTATTAAACCTTTCTAATGATACCGACTCGACATGTGCTCTAATGTCACCCCGTCTAAATATTATAAAATTCATAAATAATTTAAGCACGTTAACGAGTTGAGAAAGAGGAAATATAAAAAAAACCTTCTATTAGGGTAAGGAAAGTATACTTGATATTATTGCTGTGCCTACTCGTATCTCTACGATAAATAATAGGTACACAAAGGTAGGAAGGGATACGGTAAGTCATAATTAGTTGTTTATATGATAGACGGCGTGACAAATCAACCCTCTTTGAAAAGCTTTTTTAGTTTTATCTTTCGGTACTAACTTCCTTTTAGACGAAGGTTTTAAAAAAATTATTTAATCCCTTTTCGATTACAACTTTTACCGACGCCGTGGGTATTTACAAGATTTTATTTTGCTTTTTATAATTACACAATGCTTGCAACTGAATTATGTGTATATATTTACATTACAAAATAATAGTTTAACGTGAGGAAAAAATATATTTATGTACCAATTTTTTTAACATCTTATATAACCATGTTTTCTGTTAATAAATAATTTTAATTTTCAATTAAAACGATGACATTAAAACAGACGGAAAAATGAACTTAAAATTATACTTACGTGATGTGAAGATTTGTCACCATCGGAGTCGTTACATCTATTATTATCATTGTCTTCCTCTGAAGATGATGAAGAAGATGAAGAATCATCATTTTTGGAATTTTTGTAGCCCTTGAAATGAAACGATAATAAATACTTATAAATAATTTGTCAAAACAGCACGTATACACGACTCATAATGCTGTGTCAAATAAGGCACGTATGGCAATTCATAATGCTGTGTTAGTCCCTACTTTAATGTATGGTAGTGAAAGTTGGGTGTGGCAGAAGAAGCATGAGAGTAAAATAAATGCTGTAGAAATGCGATCACTAAGGAGTATGTTAGGGCTAAATCTGAATGACGGGGTGAGATATTGCGTGATAAGAGAAAAGTGCGGTTTACAAGATGATATTGTGACCAGGATTGAGAAAAGAATGTTTACACTTGACGAGGAAAGAGTGACAAAGCAAATCTATGTTGCAAATGTGACCGGCAGAGTTGAGAAGGTACGCCCTAGATGAAAGTTAATCGACCAAATTGGCGATATATTGAAAATGGACCAGATTAGGAGCTTAACCGACGAGCATGCATGCGTAGCCATATGGAAGTAAAGGAGGCGAGAGACGTGTATCAAAACCGTGCCAAATGGAAGTCCGTAGTCTCTGTCTACTCCTCTGAGTGACAGGCATGAGTGTTTATGATGATGAAGTAATTTATAAAAAACCCTGTAAGAAAGACTAAAAATATATAATAATTAGTATGTTTTAAAATATAGGATGACTTTAATTAAAATTTGATCCCTAAAGGTCGCTTGAGCCTAAAACGTCGGCTTTCTCTTTTGCGGCATGGGCCTGTGAGTCGTCCTCCCTGTGCAAAGATGACTTATAGAAATTTCTTTGGACAGCCATGGCGAGAGACCAGAATACACGGGTTCCCGAAGGAAGGCGAACTAATTTCTCATCATTTTGGAAGTATGATCCATCATTAAGAACGTCACGCCTTTTTCTTATAGCAATCTTTTAGAACTAATTAGAAAAACAAGCATAACTCATACAGTCCTTTAAAATAATCTGACGACTCAGTAGCGTAGTGGCTAACTTAATATACATAATATAGTATCTTTATTAATGTGTCGTAACGTAATCTTACAGCCTATATACGTCCCACTTATGATCACAGGACTCCTCTCATTATAGAGTTAAATCTATGGAGTAACTAATCCGCCGCACTGCTTCAGTGTAGCGGCAGTGTAAGAATATCCACTGCCCCATAACATCCCGTGGGTGTCGTAAGAGGCTATATAGGGAAACAAATTAGGCGTTTAGCGTATTCCTAATAACGACTACAAATAAAAAATGTGGTTGCCAACCGGCTTGTCAAACGTGGCAACTTTGGCAAATATATGAGGCAGATCGTATGAGGCAGTGCATTTTGGTGCATAATGAAATACAATTTACATTGAAACTTGGTAGAGCCATGCTGCAGCTATATTAGTAGTATAGTTGTAGCACGAATGGGTCGGCTCGACCGAGGAACGACCACGCTCATAGCAGTTTAACACTACTGTGTTTCGTATGGTGAGTGTAGAGAACCGAAGACCCTTTTTACTGGAAAAGAGGCATTCTATCTTAGTCCTCACGGGTTACAACGCATCTGCATTTTGATTAGTAATGCCTATGGGCCACAGCAACCACTTACTATCAGGTGGACTGTGTGCTCGTTTGTCACCCTGTCCTATAAAAAATATATTCTGTGTTGTTGAACCGACCCATTTATGTTGCAGCCATAGTACAACTGAAGTGTAACTCTACCAAAACATGCTCTTGTACACAATTTTCATAGTATTTTTATCATCCAAGCTAGTACCCATATTGATAGTATGTGTATTGCATACCATCCATATTGTTTTTCATACGCATTCACATGTAGTTTTTGATTACGTCTAAATAAAGCAAATAGTTTTTTTTATAATAAACTTCTCAGAAAGCTTGAAATTTTGGTAAAAATATTTTTTAAGGTTCTTGTATGCGTAAGATAGACACACGCAAAGAGGTAATGCGTAGTCAGACTATCCATTCTATACGTAGAGTACTAAATTATGTAGTTTCTACCGTGTAAAATATCTACAGTGGTAAATATTTCAGTTTTAATGCCTCAATACCACAGTAACTTCGCGTTTAGCTTTAGGTAGCTAAAGCATGTTCAATTGTTGTGCAATTTCATGGCCTACAAATAATTGGTCCGGGGTTTGGGTGCTTGTTCATTAGCAATTTACGGAGATACGTCTAGCAGAAATTCTATAGGTAAGTTGCAATTCCCTTGGTGATGCAGTTGTTCAATTGTGCAGTTGTTCATGGGCGGTGGTGTCTACACTTATCATCAAGTGAGCCGTATGGTCGTTTGCAACCTCTAATATAAAAAAAAAACTTATTAAATGAGAAACTAGGTAAAATACGTCGTGAGTTCTTTGTCTTTAAATTGTGTGTGACGGGTTACCTTATACCGCCCCCAAAAAGTAATTTTTCCTTAAAGTAATGGGCTTTTATTACATTAAATAAAATTATTCACAATGATCGAAATTAATAAACTTTTTAAAAATTCTTTATGCATTATTACTAACATAATTAACGTTTAACTCGAACATAATAATATTTCGTATTTGCTTGACTGTCTTGCTTCTCTTACATATCTATTAAAGTGGAAAAATTAACGTGGCAAAAGTTAGGGGAACAGTTTCATCATTATTGCTCATTAGAGCCGCAATTGAAGCTCGCTTGAAGAAATACGCCGTAACACGAACATTTTGCAAACAAATTGGAGTGTTTCGCTGCGTACACTACAGCCAGCCCTGTTGGAAGCTAATATACAATCTTCACAAACTTTTGGTATTTAAAAGAATGTATATAGCGTGCTGAATTTGAATTATTTAATGTTATAATATATATAACTCTTGTTTGGTTTAATTTATTGGATTGCAATATTGTGTTTGAGTTGCCATTTTACTGTTTAATACTATAGTGAAATGTTTGAGGTTTAAATAGATCAAACGGGCATTTCTAATCTTTACATAATATGATAGCCTGTCTAACAACGTGTTCATAGGTACCTTGTGTAGATAATAAACAAAATCGTATTCATTTCAAAACAATAATGATAAAGTTCTTGATCTGAATCGACTTCAACTTTAAATTTAACTTTTTTTATAGAATAGACAAAGGAGTACAAAGATCACGTGATAGTAAGTGGATGCGCGGTAGACATCTACATCTATCCTCGACTAAGAATCAAAATGCAGATGCTTTGTTATTCCTGAGGGTAATCTGGTATGCTTTGTTACCAGTAAAAAGGGTCTCCGGTTTTCTACGGAATAACCATATGGTGAGTCCATACGCATATTCCGTGAATTCCCACTCTAGCGGATCCGACCCATTCATGCTATAGCCATAATATAGCTGCAGCGTGGCCCTACTACGAAAAAAGTTTAACAAACAAGCAATAAAGTAAAATAATAGTCTACAACTCACACATATAAACAGTATAATATATTATAATACAGGAACTTGTGATTATAATTTGCTATTCTCCTTTTCCATGTTTAAACAACAACATAACCATCTTTATTCAATATCAGTACAGACCATCCCTAAACCGATTGCTGATTATGGATTGTTCTTTTAAATTACTAAAAATCACAGCCATAAGCACGCATGCGCCACCAAGTCATCGATCTGCCTCTGGAAAAAATCGCTCTAAATTTCTCCGCTGACTGACCTGTTTACGGATTTGGTAGGCTATGCCAGTTATTCTGCTTTTACTGTGGATATCCTCGTTACAATTTTATTTCTCAGAGAAAACTTGAGCGATCAATGAGGAAGAAGCTATCTCTTTAAGGCTCACTGAGAGCATCCTTTTACAACACATAGTAAACACGTCTACCAAGGACCACGTTTCGGTTCTTTAGGTCACCACTCTGAACACGCATTGCTAGTACAAAATTTGGTGTACAGAGGCACCGTGAAAGATAATCATACAACTTTATAACAAAATTGTCACATTTAATCAAGAATGTGGGCAGCGGCATCTTACTGGTCATTTTAGGTTGCCTGTCTGCAAAACGCTTTGATAGGTTAAATTTGCGGCAGATGGACGTTAAATGTATGTAAGTTAATAGTAATATATCGATTCTGGGTAAAATTTTAGGAGAGTTGGATTTAGATTTAAATTTAGAGGTATATTTTATAATTGATTAAAACTCATGTGCTTATATTAATTTAACATAAACGCCATGTTACATTTATGCTGATAGATTGGAGAACGTAGTACTAGTTACTTTAGAATGTATCGCAACAACTAACGATCTTTGTAGTATCGTCGAAATATTTAACTAAATAATTTAAAATTTTGTACAGCCGACTTCAATATAATTTATTTTTTTTATAGGAGAGGGGGCAAACGAGCATGCGGCTCACCTGATGGTAAGTGACTACCGCCGCCCATGAACAACCGCAACACCAGGGGAATTGCAGATGCGTTGCCGGCCTTTTAAAAAGGAGTAGGCTCTTTTCTTGAAGGTCGCTAAGTTGTATCGGTCCGGAAAAATCGCTGGTAGTAAACTATTCCACAAGGAAGTTGTGCGAGGAAGAAAACATCTTCTAAATCGCACAGTGGTGGATCGCCAATCATCCAAATGGTGTGGATGGTATCGGGAGTTCTGCCGCGATGTGCGTTTGTGAAATTTGGCAGGTGGGATTAATCCGAACAATTCTTCACTTTGAAGAGAAAAACCGCAAATCAGCACTCTTATACCCCTCAAATGCTACGACCAGACGCGCATACAGTTCTTTCAGAAATTTCGCCGCGCAAGGATTCCAAGGAGAGAAAGTCTTTATAGTAAATGCCATAAACACTTAGTCACATCTCAAAGAGTCATATTTGCGCCACTAACTTAATTCAGTCGCCCCTGACGCCGGTCCGGTCCCAACACAGCTACTTTAGAGATGAACGTCTACACACGTAGCACATGGGCCAACCTTTCTCAGAATGAAAATTATTTTAAATAAGTTCTTTATATACTTTATACGTTATAATTAATTAATTGATAATATATACTGTTTTCATTGTAGAGTTACGTCGCAGTATATTATGATTGCAGCACGAATGTGTCCGTTCAACAAAGAAAGTCCTATGTTAAAATAGCATAGCATAGTATGTGAAATAGCATACAGTCCACCTAGTGGTAAGTGGTTGGTGTGACCCATAGACATCTACATATCCTAAATAAAGAATCAAAATGCAGATGCGTTTTCACCCGTGAGGATTAATATGGAATGCCTCTTTTCCAGTAAAAAGGGTCTCCGGTTCTCTACACTCACCATACGAAACACAGCAGTGTTAAGCTGCTATTTTACGCTGGTATTCTGTAAGAGCGTCGTCATTCCCCGGTCGAGTCGACCGAATTTTACTACTTATATAGTTGCAGCATGACTACCACGTATGAAATAATATTTTTATGTTTCGTATTTATAGTGACAAGAACCTTTTTACTCGTAATAATGTGTTTCATCTAAATCCAGAGTGGTGATACGCATCTACATTTTGATTCGTAATGGAGAATGAAAAATGTAGATATCTATTAACAACAGTATTTATTTATTATCAGATGGTCTTCAAAAAAAAATAACAGGGCGACATATTTAGATGGAGCATTATAAAGAAAATGTGAATTATTTATAAGTAAAAAATGTTCACAAAATGCCCTTATCATCAGTTTAGGGGAAAAATAAATTTAAATATTTTAGAAAAGTTTTACTTCAGCTAGGAGAGAATTCGTTCATTTTGTAAAAAATGTAGCCTGTGAATTGTCTAAGTAATCGATATTACTAACAATGTTAATACTAATAAAATCTAAGTAAAAAGGCCATGCAGGGTTTTGTATATAACACCAGCCAGTTATAATATAATATTTTGAATAAACCAAGTTCCACTTTTAAATATAAATTCACATTTTAAGTGCTAGACTGAAATATCATGTGTTATTTCAAAATAGGTCTGGCTCGGAAAAATATTCACGCGATTAATTTTTACAAATTTGAACGTCGCATAAAACCGGACTAATGGTTTGATAGGATTCAAAACTCATTTACAGATAAAAGCCTTCTAAGTCAATTACCCTTTGAGAGATGAAGAACGAAGTGGTCGCCCTTATTTCACGGCAGTTACAGAAGGAAACGAAACAGTAAAAAAAAGAAGAGAGACGAAGAGAATATGTTAATTACGTATGAATAGTACAGTACATATTCCAGATTGGATCGAGAAGTTTTGATGAGATTTTGCACGAACACCTTTGCCTGAGGAAGATAGTCATGTGTTGGGTGCTGCTCAACCTCACCGATGCTAAGAAGCAGGGCCCGAATGGTGCTATGAGCCGATTACTAGATTTAAAGCAGCTTGATTTCAGCGTTTTAATCTAGAATTTATCAATTCAGTACAGAAATGAAGCACCATTCGATAGTTTGCCTGTTTCAAAATGAACCAACGCCTACCAAAGTAAAGCGATCGATGAGGCCAGACAATATTTTTACCTCTAGTTTGTTCTCTTTGGGTATCTGATGTAAATTTCTTTACAAAATCGAAAAAGCACCAATGACGAATGGTATAGGTATACTACCAAATACTTGCCAGAAGTGTTCACTACTGTTAGCAACAAGCGATCGAACACATGACTTCACAGACATGAGATTTTCCATGACAACGCGCCCGATAACTCAGCGCTCAAAAAGAGGGACCTCCTGGATAGCACAACGGTTGGAGTTCTTTTAAATGAATTAAAAAATAAAAACATAGAAAACCTTCCATTCAGTTCACAAGTACTTATAAGGATCAAGTTGAAAGCAAAGATAGATGGTGCCACGCCGCGAAAGTCGATGATGAAATGATAGAGCAAAGCAAACTCCTCCGCCTACGTCAAGCATTCAAGGTAATACACCACTTCCATAAAATGAGCAGGTTCGCTTCCTAGCCAAAATAGGATTTTTACTAAACATTACAACGTTTTTTTCTTTTAACATAATCGATATTAAGTCACTTACACATTTATCATCGTCTTCTTCTGATGACGACGATGAAGATGAGGAAGACGATGAATCATCACATTTTTTTTTACTTCTCTCGTTGCTCTGAAATAGAAAATATGTACAATTATGCATTCTTCATATAAAATAAAAGTTTCACGACTTTATACTAGAGATAAGTGTAAATTGTTTTTTTTTTTTTAGAAAAGGTAGAAAGTTATCACAGGTGGTAATTTATACATTGCATAATCTAGTCGTACAACATTACTTAGAAGCTTTATAATTAAGTGTACTAATTAATTACTATAATTTCTCTGAAAGCTTTAAGAGTTTAGCTCTGTCATGACAAAATTCAGCTTATATCCTAATGCTGAATAACGCACGTAAATAAATTGTTAATATTTCTTAAGTAAAAACTTTCGCATTAAAATATATTAATGTACCTATATATCAGTAGTTAGATATATATGAAAAAGACAAAATTATGTTCTCGTATTTCAGTTTACTGCTTCATTTAAAATTCTAAACATTCACAATTTAAAATAAAATTTAAATAATATATACTAGGACCAATAGAATAGAATAAAATAATTTTTATTCAATATAGATACATAAACTTATTGAGTTTTCTTTCATTAACCACTTGGTTTGGAAAGTATCTCTGTCCTGGGAAAAACCAGAAAGAAACCTAGCGGGATTTTTTTAAATATATAATTTTACAATTATTTATGGGAATTATAACAGAATCAGCATGGTAACGATCACCTCATTCCCAGGGGTTATTTTCAGTCATGTATTCCTTAATATTATTAAAACCCTTTTTATACAGTTTTTATTTATTGTTGATGGACAAACTTAATATTACCAACAACAAAATCTCACAAGACTTTTGGTTAAACATCATAAACAACAAAGGGTTATTACATTTCCTCTTAAATGAATGACTAATTCTGTGGAGTCTATTAACTCGCATTTCAAGCATGTGTTTGTTCATAGTATTTAAAGTGTGAATATATTTGTTAAATTCAATTTGAATCCATCCTTTGTTCACAATGAAACACTTCCGAAATTATTATAATAATAAAAAGTAGTGTTTATTATTTCCACACCCAAAATATAATAAAAATAGAATAGTAAGAAATATTATCAGTTATATTTATATAAATTATTTTTTCCAACATTCTAAACGCAACTATTTTATACAAGATCTTTATTTTTGCTTCGATAACTGACACGATATTTATCATATCAGTTACATTTCGATTTTATTATATAATACAAGTACTGCATTGTGGTGTGGAGCATATCGGCATCGTGTTACTTAATACGCTTAGAAAGGGACTAAAGAGCGGTATTGAAAGTGATGCTTCGAAAACTGTTTCGCTACCCCACAGCAAGATTTTCTTCTCCTATTTTTTTTGTTTTTTAAAAAATTGCAAATCCTCCAAAGAAAACAGTATATCCTTAAAATATCAGTTGATATGCATAAACAAGATCTCAGCTCGTTCGAGTATCCCGACACGTTAATAAACGCACATACAATGTAAAATCAAAATACTTCAAGACGAAATTTCATCAACATTATCAATTTTTATTTTCCCTTTAATTAATTGTCAAGTCATATACGTGAGAGCATTCCTTCCTGGTTCTCAATAATCCTTTCTAATAATATTGTCCCGGAAAAAGACATAGATTCGATAAGTAATGCGTTTATTATATGAAAAAAATATTATTGAGAAAGCTCTAATAGCTAAGAATATATTTTTAAAAGAAAGAGGTCATTAATTTCACTAACTAAAATAATACAAACTTAACCTTAAATTAAAATACTTGAAATAAACTATTCTGTCTCCATATAATCCTACAAAACATTTCGCAATTACCTACTTACCGATAGTAATTTTCAATATGTGCTATAAAATGCACAAAACGAATCCACAATGTCATAACGATTCTTATGCTTATGTGTGAACGACCAGAACCTACAGTTATAAATAATGTGGGAAAGTATTGACCTATCCGAAATGGACCCTAACGTTCAAAACCAAATTGAATACATTGATAGTAGTCAATCTACGGCATCGTGAGAAAACGATCAGAATTATAAGTTACTATATGCAGTCATTGGAAACATAAATACGCGCTCGATGGATACCTGGCGCATTGGCTTAGCAATGAGTTACGGAGCTAAGGGCCGCGGATTCAAATCCCACACGGAACGAGTATTTGTATGTCCTTGCGCAAATTGTGTACGAAAACTGCCTCCACGGTACAAGAGAAACTCCCCGTGTAGTGGTGAGGTTTTAAACAAAACACACGCGTATAGTAAACAGCTCTTAACAACTTCCATGTCCGCAAAAAACACATAAGTTAAACAATCCAAATGTTCTTATATGACGCCCAGGACAGTGGAATGGTTGAGAGAGAAAAATATGTAAAACAACAGATTGCAAACACCTACATCTTCAGTTGGCTTTTAATATTCACTAAAAGGGAGAAAAGTGTTACACTCTTTACATAAGTTACGAATACACGAGAATATTTAGAAAGAATGAATCAACAATACTATTTAAAAAAACTTATCTCACTAAATTACAAAATAGTTTTAATAACTTATTTAACCTCTTATTAGTTATAAATTAGATCGTCGCATTGACCTATGCTTCGTTCTAAATTACTAGAATCTGTGACAAGTGATAACCTCTTTCGTCTCTAAGATTGAAAATATCATTAGCGATAATCATTAAGTAAATAATAGATATTCAAATTGTTTACTCCGTTGGCGTTATCTAACGGCACCGCTTAAGAAAATTCACTATCCCATCTTATTTGGTGGGTGCCGTAAGTCGACTTAAACTAAATTTTCTTTACAATGATGAACTTGAAATAATAGGGCGATGATAACCACAAGAAAAATGCATTTATCTTGCAAGTCTAAGCAACTTTGTATTTTTGTAGGTTGAAACATTTCTGAGGTCCAATTATTACCATTAGACCTAAAGAGAAGTAATTTTAAAATTGTTATGTAACCATATTAAATTGTATAGAGCAAGAATTAAAACTGTATTAAAAGAAGTTCTTATAAAAGGCACCAGTAAATAATAATGCGCATAAGAAACAGATTATGATAATATTTAATAGTATAACCTACCTCACTGCTGTCGTTGTCTTTGCTATTACCACATGATGAGTGGTGGCTCTGCTTTCTGAAAACATATCACAAAATAAATGTCTATCAATTCTGTCCAGTAGCAACAAATTATTGTAAAATAACTAACAAGTATTTTTATACTAACGCCTTTAAATCTTACCATACTCTTTGGTATGATATCAAGTGTTATATTAAAATTGTATCCAAGGATATCGTTGTGGTGGCTCGTTTTAGATGTAAGTGATTTTTGGAAAGAACTTTCATACATGCAATATATCATGCGAGTCTAACATGGTAGCGCATATAATAAATGAATTTTAAAAAGAAAAAAATATTTAGCAAAATTTAAGACATTAACCATCTTCAATGTCTTTATTAATATTTGATGTAATCTTTGATTAAAATATACAACTCGGTAATGTGTCAGCTTGAAATATCATCATCGTCATCATAATTACCACAAAAGTCCACTGCTATACATAGGCTGCCCCCATAATACTAAAATATGATTCTACATAATTTATATCAGGTAATATGAACTTTTAACCGTTATAAGAAGATTCTTATCTATATATTCTGTATAAGCGAAATACCACTGACTGCCTGACTCATCACAAGATCTCTAAAACTATACACCCGATTGACTTGAAATTTAGTATAGTTACTCATTTCGCAATGTAGATGCTCACTTCCGTACATTCCGTATATTCCGTGTTACAGCCATGCTGCAGGTACATATATTAGTAGTAATGTTGTAGCACAAATGGGTCGGCACGACCGGGGAAGGACCACGCTCTCTAAGAATACCAGAGTTAAATGGCAAAATAACGCTGCTGTGTTTCGTATGGTGAGTGTAGAGAACCGGAGCCCCTTTTTACTGGAAACGATGCATTCCATCTTAGTCATCACAGGTGACAACGCATTTGCATTTTGATTCGTAACCGTAGATAGATGTAGATGTCTATGGGCCACAGCAACCACTTACCATCAGGTGGACTGTGTGCTCGTTTGTCACCCTTATTCTATTAAAAAAGAACTAAGAACGGATTTTACGATAGTCCAACCAAAAAAAATTTCTTGACAACTTACATTCGTGCGCTCAGCGAAGCGAGTGGGTATTATCTAGTATTACTATAACACCTACAATGCTATACCTACATATGTGTTTTAAGAATAAAATAAATAGGGTATAGTAATTTCTTATTGTTAACCGTCATTATCATAACAATAACAACGCCGCTTCAAATGTCCACTGCTGACCATGCGACACCACCACAGATTGCCACAAAGTCTAGCCCTGAGCCACGTCTATCCATCGATTCTGCTATTCTTTCTGATAACTCATCATGGCTGTCTAAGTCTTTTACTAGCTTTCACTTGTACGCAATCTTACGCATTTACACGCTCCTTCAGTAATTTTACAAAATTGAACCCGAAGTTTTAGGGCTGAAGGACACATCATTCATACATATTTACACTGTGGTTATACTATTGTGCTCATTTTCGTCTCATCATCTCGAGGCTAATAGCAGAAAATTAGTGTTTGCTCTCACAGCAATGTTAATCGCTGAGCTAGGACCCATTTGTTAAAGCAAATAAACTGCTAGATCTTAAGATTATGTAATTTTTTGTAATACGTTACTTTTTACCTAATTTGATCACTGAATTTACGTGTGTGATTCAAAAAACAAATAAAAGCCTTATCTATCTATCAGCAGTGAGACCCCGAGCTGAGCCTCACCGCATTCCCAAAACCGGAAAGCTGAATTAGAATTGTTGATTAGCAATTTGTCCGACGGTAAACTTATAATAAACTAGCTATTCCACGCGACTCCGTTTTTCGCGGAGCCCTAAAGTAAAAGTACCCTAAGTTACTTCTTATAACATCAGCTATCTACCAGAGAAAGTCTTATCCAAATCGGTTCACAGGTTTTTGCGTGATGCGTGTTCAGACGACGTCGTGGTTTTTTTCCGACTTACTTCACATTTATCGTTATATTTTGGCCAATTTACAAAATATCTTTATTAGTTATAGCTTATGTGTTATTCTGATGTACGAGCTATATAATTGTAAAGTTTCATAAAAGTAACAAATATCTATACATCCTCACAAACTTTCACGTTTATAATATTAGTAGGAAGTAGGATGTGACAAGGGCATCTTCGTCTTGTCAATGTTCATTCTAAAACCCAACAATTTTGAAATATTTCTTTTATCATTATACATAGTTCTATTTATTTACAAAATTGCTACAAAAATGATACTGGATTTTTTTAATCATTATTGGTAATAATATATTTTCAGAAATTAACAAAGCATTATGCTTATTTGTTAGTGTTTGCCCTCAATATTAATGTGCTTGTCGTCACATATTAGTGTGAAAGAATGATTAAGGCGCTATATAGTGAGTGTCACGTAAGCTTGTCAAGTAGCCAACTAGACCCAATTCTATACCTCCTATACCTCTACGCTTCGCATCCGAGATATGCAATACACATTTATTCGAAATAAACCAAAAACCCTTCCTAAATATAAGAAACCTTAATAAATTTAATATAAATGGAGTTCTTTATTCTATTGTGGGAAGACAAAATGTGGCAAAAAAGGTGCATATGACAATTCATAGCGCTGTTAGTATCTACCTTAATGGAATTAAAGGATATGGCAGAAGAAGCATGAAAGTAAAATTAATACAGTAGAAATGCGATTATTAGGATGTATGTTAGGTGTAACTCAAGAAGAAAAGTGTGATTTGCAAGAAGATTTATTAACCAGCATTAAGAAAGAATCAGGAAAGAGTGATATAGCAAATTTATGCTGCAGAAGTGAACGTATTCGACAAGGGACACCCTAGATGGAAGTTTATCGACTAAATTTGAGACTTATTGAAAATATAAGAGTTTATTAACGAACAAACATGAATGCGTTAATGTATGGATGTAAAATAACCAGCGAAGTGCGACTTGGACTCGTGCATAAAGAGTTCCGTACCATTGTAATATACGTTTCTAGTAGGGGGCCCATTTTAATTTTTTTTATTTATTTTAATTGTTATTATTTGTTTTAACAGAAATACACTTCTGTGAAAATTTCAACTATCTACCTATGACGGATCATGAGAGAAAGCCCACTGATAGACAGACGGACAGACGAACGGACGGAAGGACATCGAAGGCTTAGTAATAGGGTCCTATTGGATACCCTTTTGGTACGGAACCCTAAAAGTAGTATGTCGGGAACATGCCAAATTGAAGTCCGTAGTCTCTACTTCGGTCTCAGGTGTGAGAGTTTATGTAGCTCAGGGAGTCGTTTGTTATAACCATAAAACATAGTACCAAAAGCTAAAAATGGGGGAGAGGTTACAGTTTGACACGTATGTTTTTTATGTGTGTTCACTGATTTCTTCTCAAACTCAAAAACTAAAAATAATAAAATAATATACAAGCTTTTTACTTTTTATTTTTTGATGCTTTAGAGTGAACACAATCGCTACAAAAATGTTGTGTGTTAATGGTAACAACTACATGTCGTCTAAAATTGTTACAACAAAAATTTCACCTCTATATCTCCACCATTCATAAGCATTTACGTCTAATTAGCTGTTCCCGAGACATCAGTGAACATACATAATAACATACATGTCGAATATAGTAATACTTCCTCAGATGATAATATAACAATCTATAATCTGAGAGAACCTCTTCCTTATTTTTTAATTTGCAAACGAGGAGTACCGAAGATTTTCTCTATAACTCTGCATAGTTTTAAAGATCAAGAAAATTAATCATTTCGTTACGTCGTTCTCGATATGTTTTGGTAAAAGTCAGCGACAATAAAAAAAATCATTGGGCTTATTTATAATATTACGTAATGTGAAACTTAATAAAAACATCAGGCTTATTCATTAGTTTTTCCTGTTAATAATAATTTGTTTTTATGAATATAATTATTTGGTGTGGTTTAAAAATATATTATAAACCGGATTTAATTTGAGTTTGACCTTTGAAGACCTTACCAAGTTGACAATAAAGCCAACAACCTATGTTCTATCGTTCTAATCGTTCTATGTTCGAAGTGTGTGAAAACTAAAAAAACGTAAAAGAATTGACCTCTCGGTAGGGAGTAATTTATTCTGTGGAACTGATTGACCTGTGGAAAGAAGCATGGGTCAAAGCTTTCAATTATTGAAATTGAAATGAAGGAGTTCTGGACTACGTTATCTCACGCACGTTATAAAATGTTGATTCTTTATGACAATTATAAAGAAAAAACGCAGGAGCTCAATTCAGTGGCAGCAAAATGTCCTAAAATAATCTAAAGTCAGTTCTATGAATTTAAATTCACTGTAGGTATTACCTTTAGTAACGAACTACACTTAAGGATGACGAATTTGGTTTGTTATCACGATCATTAATAATTTACTATATCGTATAATTTGAATACTACTTTCAAAATTCCACAAAATTTGTTCGGAGGTCCATTATAAGCAAAGATAAATTTTATTTAAAAAAAAATAAAGAAGTATTTTACTGGTATTTTTATACAAATTTTATAATAAAAGTTTGTTTTGACAGCTCATTCGCTCATTATTATTAACTAAACGGTTAAGGACACAGCAGAAAAGTAAAGACAAAATAAGAAATTACTTTGAATTACTTGTATAATAGAGGTCAGTGTTTTAACTGAATATTTTTTTTTGAAAGTATTTTCTTTCCTCAATTTGCAATTTCATACTTAATCCCTCAACTTAATAAATTAAACTAAATTTGCAGCCTATATACGTTCCGCAGCTGGGCATATTCCTCCTCTCGTTTTTGAGATGGTTATGGAAAAATTAGTACGCTGCTTTGCTCCAATACGTGTTGTCGGACTGCATAAGATTTGAAAGGTTTTTATTCCTCAGAAATGTAGGTTTCCTCATGATGTTTTACTTCACTAACTACCAAATCAGCACTTAAAATTGCAAATTCATCCGTGCCTGTGGAGAACGAAGCCGGGTGACTCGGGTACTGGGAAATTCCAGCAAACGCTTACCCTCTGAGTTACCACAACTCTCTGAGCCTACTCGTTAAAAGAGTTTTCCTAATTTTTTTTATTTACTCAATGTCTGAATACATTTAACCAGCAATTAAATAAAAAAATAACTTACCTAGAGGAATGTGATCTAGCTTCCGTAAGTGCTAAGAAGACCAGCAAGCCCAGCGCTAATATCACGATCTTATTCATTTTTGAGATTATGACTGAAATAAACAAAAAAACAGTTAAATAGATATTTAATTAAAAATAAAACGTTAAGAGTAAGTTATTGGTTACTATTAATATTACAAAATCATAATAAAATTGTAATTGTTTATTTATTACTTACAAATAAAACAATACCACAACTACTTAAATTGAGATGAAGATTTGCACTGACTTGGTTTTATAATTTTCTCACACAAGCAAATTCACGTAACTTGTTTGGAGTGAGACCGCACTGGATAAGGTCGTTTGATAAGCCAGTTCTGCTCACCACAGTAGAAACAAATCCGAAGTTCTTTTTTTATGTTTTGGTTTAAAGAAGTTTATTGTTAATTTATATTTTAGTACAATTAGGTTGCGCAGTGAGCATGTATATATACAAATGAATATTTTATGAATATTTTTCACTAGGTAGGTATTTGGTTTTATCTTTATAAACTTAGTAATTTTTGCCTTTAGTATGCATTACTTAAGAAATTTTAGCGGATTTTTTTTATTTAAATTTTATTTTAAACCGTTGATAGCAATTTTCTTCTTAATTGAAATTGTGTTTTACCTACCTGTACTGATTTTGAAATTACTTGTATCTAATACTATTAGTATATTAGTAATCATTTTAGATTATTTTTACGAACAGTTGATTTAAGCTGTCTTAAATATTCAACGACAGCCCTATCTTTATAAGATCAGCTATCTACTTTGCGAGAGCTTTGTCTGCAATATTCGTATATTACAATTCTATCTAAACGTCATTAACAAAGGGTTAGTCACTGGCCTAAAACCTTCGTCAACCCGCACTAGTGGTGGATTATGCTGTAGTTGATTCCTCATCAGATGGAGGGCCATACTTAGTAGTGGTTACTGTGACTGTAGATTACTACAAGGGTGCTGTAATGATAATGATGACGACGACGTCCGTCGAATACCTTTGTCCGAAAGTCCTTGACTTTGTGTAGTTAAACCATAATCCATTGTTACTTGTTCAAAAAATCCTACACTAACCTTATTTAATTTTTACTATGATTAAAATTGCCTGGCAGCAAAGTTTTTTCATTTCTATTTAGATCATTTTACCTATATATCAAACATGCGTTATTTCAGGGCGTCATTTTTCTTCAAGCCCAATTATAATATAATGAGGTTCAGCTAATTTTACTTGTTTTCTAATAATGTTTTGATAGCGGTAAGTAACTTTTACCAGATTGTGATTTTAATGAAAATATTACTAACCGACACTATTTCATAAAGTATGGATTTTTTTATAGGAATAGGGTGACAAACGAGCATACAGTCCACCTGATAGTAAGTGGTTGCTTCATTTTTGTTGTTTCAATCAAAATGCATAATGCGAAAAAATTCATAGTTTGTTGCTTCAATCAAAATGCAGATGCGTCGTCACACGTGAGAACTAAGATGGAATGCCTCGGTTGCAGTAAAAAGGGATAAAATTCAAAATCTTTCAATGCCAGTTTATCAAGCCTTTAATGTGCATCTAAAACTCGTTGGAATCAAATAGTTATGACTAATAGGCGATTTTTACGAGTTTTTGGTTTTCCAAAGAAATAACTTTAAAATGCTCTAGTCGCTTGGCAATTATTGCCTTTCAAGCGTTAATATAATTTAGCTCCTTCATACATCTGATTTTTATTTCCATATTGGGTCCTGGGAATAGGTAAGTATATGTTATCAGTACTTCGTAACGTTTTCTTTTGTATTTGATTATTCTTGGTAAAGCTTATTTGAGAATGTATTTGACCATTTAGAAGTTTACGTATTAAAATGCAAGTCGTAAAAGCATACAATTCTTTTAAATTCATTAATTTTCTTTCAAAGTAAATTCTTTTAGCCCGTGTTAAGTATTTATAATGAAATAAGACTTTTATAATTTTATTTTGTGAAGTTTGAAGACCTTTGAGGTCAGACGTCGCTGCATTACCCCAAACTCCTACTAAATAATTTAAATGTGGTATTCCTAAAGAGTTATATATATTGGAACGGACTTGTTTAGGCAGACAGTTTACTAATTTACGCAGAGCGCCTGTTAAAGAAGTAATTTTATTTATAATCAATGTGTGTTAAATACTTTTCCTGATTTTTTTGTATAGCTTCATCATTTATATATAAATTAATGTTTTCTTCAAATTTCTTGTTTTTGCTGCGAACAGTATATAACAGGTTTTAGATAAGTTAATTGAGAGTAAGTTGTATTGGAACCAGTGAAAAAGTAAATTTAGATATTTCTAAGCCTGGTACATGATATCATAAAATGAACGACCAAGGTAAAACAGACAAGTATCATCCGCATATAGGGTAAGATGACCTTGCAGCTTCGCTTTGTGTATATCATTATATAGATCAAGGGCTCAATATTCACTTTCACATTGATTAATTTTAACTTCCTGATACCAATATATTGTATGCAGTACCTGTTACTGCAATATTTTTTAGTTTATTTAAGAGTAAGGGATGACTTATTGTATCGAAAGACTTTTTAAGATCAATAAAAACTCCTAATGCAATATTTTTTCAATCTATATTATTTTTTTATTTAAGTAACTAGATCAATTGTAACTGATAAGGTATTGATTTGTGACCAAAATCCGTATTGGCTTTCAAATAAAAAAAATAGAGATTGAAGATAAATGTAAATAACCTATTATAGATTATTCTTTCAACTCAGATGACAGGCAGCACTGATATTGGACGGTAGTTTCCCAGTTCCAACTTGGAACCTGATTTATAAATGGGTGTTATTTTTACTATTTTTAGGGAATTTGGGAATTTTCCTTTGTTACAAAGGCAGTTAATTCATCGATAGTTAAAAATTTTGTAAATTTTAATATTTTGGTAGTAATACCATCTACACCTGCACTTACGTTAAAGTCTAAACATGAAATAATTTTTATCACCTCAATAGTTGTCATTGGCGCTATGCTTTAGAATTCTTTACTAGCGCTATTTTGTCTTATATCTGAATGACGTATAATATGATATTTCGCAGGGATGCTATTACTTAAATTTCTATCAATACTATTAAAATAGCTATTAAAACAGCCACAGATTTCCTGTAGATCTGTTCCTATTTTCGAATTAATTTCTATTTTAAGGGTACATAATTTGACTTTATTTTTATTCTTTGGCAGCGAATTTATAAGACGCCATTTTTTTACGAATTTTTCTCACAGTTTTTAAAAACTGTATAAGAACATTTCTTTTTCGTTTGATTTATGTTCACTGTTAATTTATTTCTGTGATGTATGTAATTCAACCTATATATATTTTTATTTTGATATATATTTTTTAATTTTCATTTATTTGGTTGTCCTGTTCTGTTTAGGCAAGTTGAGTAATTTATTTATTAGAAATTTTGCAATTTTTGATTATTTCTTTAATGTTTGTTTCTAAGTTAGAGTAGTCATGGTCATTATTATTTTATTTCAATTCTGCTACACATGTATGTAGCTGTCTGAAATCTACGGCATCGTATTTTATCTTTACTTTTCTTTTCAGGGTATTTCTTAACAACTCCAGGTAAATTCGTTTATGGTCAGACATCGCAAATTCTAGTAAATAAAAATTAAAATGATCTTCAAATAAATTGGTGTATACATGATTGTTAATGATATAATACCCTGCCTCGTCAATTCTATTCTTATATTGTAATGTAGTTTGGTCGATTGACAGTAAATCTATATTAAAATATCCAAATATAATACCTATTATAACCTATTGTATTGTTCAAGTTATTTCACAAATGTATTAATAAATTATTTAAAATTAGTCTACCCCGGTTTGTATTTAAGTCCAATATTAAGAGATAATTTGTTGAGCAATATCCAGAAGTAGTTACTGCCTCCTATGTAGTAATTATAAGTGATGGTGTGGTCTTTACTATTATGGATATATATGACCACACCACCTCCTCTACAATCAGATCTTAAATTGTAGTAATAATTATATCCAGCCAATTGTAACAGCTTTACTTCATTATCCGACTTTATCCACGTTTCAGTTAGGAGTATTAAATGTGTAGTTTTCAGAATAGATTTAATAATACATTGAGTTCATCAAATTTTCCAAGTGCGTCTATACTTCGTACGTTAGCATAGAAAAAGTTGAGTGAATATAAACTTGGAGCTACTTGTTGTTAATTACCTAGTGTAGCACATTTAATATTGCCACGTCTATTTACATCAACATTGTTGTCCCAATGTAGGTTTAGTTTTTGGCTGCTGCATGGTTATTTTCGGTGTGCCTTTTATATATTTGATAGTAATGTTTTCTTCACCACTATGTTGGCGTCGTACCAATTCCTCTTTCAGACGTTTCATGTAGTAAAGCTGATTAAGACTTTGATCTGCATATATTTTTATATTATTTTTTTATATTGTCCCTCTTACGTAGTAACTCTTACGTTTTTAACAGTGGTAGAGCCACGCGGCAGCTTTTGCTATCGCACAGATGGGCCAGCTCGAACCGGGGTAGTACCACGACCTCACAGAAAACCAGCGTGAAGTAGAGGTTTACCTCTGCGTTTCGCTTGGTGAGTGTAGGTGGCCGGAGGCCCTTTTTACTGGAAATGAGGCATTCTATCTTAGTCCTCACGGGTGACAACGCATCTACATTTTGATTTGTAACAGAGGATAGATGTAGATGTCTATGGGCCGCAGCATCCACTTACCATCAGGTGGACTGTGTGCTCGTTTGTCGCCCTTATCCTATAAAAAAAAAAAACTTCATCGCTGTTTGTTCGGATTCGAAACATGCCTTTACTGAGTGATTCTTTTCTAAGGTGTATTTCCCTATCCTAAAAGTTTTAAGGTGCACACTACTAATCACTTTAGTTCGCAGTTGTATCCCTTCGAAGTATTCGCTTGTATCGCCAATGCAATACTTCGAACTGCAAACTAAAGTAATCAGTAATACAATTGTGTTTTTATTAGTGTGGTTTTGAGTTGTAATTAGTGTTCTGTAATTAAAGTGTC